TTAAGATTTGATTTCTATTGGTTAACTAACAATTTACAGTTTTTATCGAAACTATAATCACTGTTTGAGGTACTAAGGTACTAAGCATAAATCTTTCTAAAATATGCTGTTTGCATTCAAATGACACATCGGTTGAAAAGTCCCAAGACCACGTTATAAAAACATATTTTTTTGAAAAAAAATTCAATTTCATTCATTAACATAGTTTTTTTTAAGAACAGTACAATAATTTCATCGTTTGTTTGACACTTGGTTTAAGCATTTACGTGATTCTGTGAAGCTACAATCTGTGAACTGATGAATTACTTTGATAAAACAGTACTTTCTCTTCTTCATTTTTTCGTCCTTCAAGTTCACCAACAAATGTATACACGTATGATATTCGCTAAAGATGGTTTTAATTTTTTTAAAGTAATCGACGAATAGTAAGTATATTATACTCTTTATATCTTACTTAAAAAATATCCAAAACAATTTTATGTACTTTTTTAATATTTTCCAATGTAAACTTCTTAGAGTGTTATGCGCCATCAATATTTTCACAGTAACGTTTAAAAACTGCAAACAAATATTCAAAGGTTGCGTTCAATGGAGCCGTATTAAAATAACACTTATCGCGCATAAACGTTGGAATAAACGTTACTTTTTCTTAATAAAATATCGATAAATGTACAGACGAAACTGCTTTAAATCCCTGAAGAATTGGCAGAAGAATCATATTGCTAATCTGAAATCGAAATCGGGAAGTTGATGTTCATCGGACAATGCTCCCCGTCACATGACAGGGCAAAAGAAAATTGGACTAAAAAACGACGCATATGACGCAGGTTTTCAATATAATTTGAACACTTCCGCAAATATTAGTTTTACGTAGTACCTTTACACATTACATATTTCAAGTCAAACATGCAGTCAAGCATTCAGCCAAATATGCAGCCAAATATACAACTACACCCAATGTTTACGATTGTTGATTTTAAAGAAAACTCTGTGATAAATGACATGTGTAATTGATATTACAATACAAGTGCTACAACACGAATTAAGGAATAATGTTAGACACTGCGTGGAAAAAACACCTAATTGCAATGGCTACAAAATTGTTTGCTTGTAAAGAATTTCTGTGTTCACATTCCCGGACAAGAACGTGATTTTAGAAATGCCTGAAAAAGACATTTCACACTCGATATATGTAATATGACTTCCTTTATGATATTGAAAAGAGTGACAAGACGTAAATTTATCTCCACAATGTCTTTTATACTAAAAATTCAATAGACTTCGAAAAGAAGTCTTCACCTTTAATTAAAAGTAAGCTACAAAGGTTCATTAAATATTATGATGAATCTAATTATATCTTAGTTAATCTTATTAATTTCAGATAATAAGACCTTTAATAAGTGTTTAAATAATTGAATATTCAAAATATTCAAGCTTTATGAGTGCAAGTATCAAATGGGATGACACATTTAAAAGTCTTAATCTTATGCATTTATTAACTATTTTTAAGATACCCATTTATTTCTGGTTCATGATTGTGAAGATAGGATAAAATAAAAATGACTTTAGAAATAACATACTATTAAATGGAAATATGAAAATATTTTACACAAGCCATTGGCTGCCAGAATTCAAACTAAAACATTCAAGATAAATATTTTCCAAAAGAATTACATTCCACTGATTTACTCTTTATATTTCCATTTAAATTTATATATGGAAAATAATTTAAGTAATAAGTAATCAATGCTAGAAATACTTCAAGTAGACAAATAGGCAAAAACGTCGACTGATGGAAGGACGAATAAGTAACAAAACAAATGCATTCACAGATACGCTTATGACACAGTTTGCTCGACATAATTTATTTATTTTAACACATGAAACATACATAATAAAATGAATTTCATACACTGAGACTGTGTTTATTTTTTATCTGAATACACTGGCAAATGTGAAAAAAATCTTTTCAACATAGCAGCTAATGAAG